GTCACGGTGTTCGGCCGAGCGACGAGAATATTGAATCTGTTGTTAACTATCCGATACCGCGAAATGTTAGAGAGATGCAGCGATTCATCGGGCTCGCGAGTTATTTCCGCCGGTTTATTCCGAGTTTCTCCGTGATAGCGAAAACGTTGTATGATGTAATAAAGAAGAATGCGACCTACAAGTTCGGGACTGTTGAGAATTCGGTATTTGAGACGCTTAAGCGACGACTGTCGAGTAAACCCGTGCTGGCGATTTACTCCCAGCGCGCGGAGACGGAACTGCATTGCGATGCGAGCGCGAGCGGATTTGGCGGAATATTGCTCCAACGACAGACGGATGGTGCGTGGCGCCCGATCTCTTTTTGGAGTCAGCGTACTACCCCTGCTGAGTCGAAGTATCATAGCTTCGAGCTCGAGTGTCTTGCTGCCATGTACGCGTTAAAAAGGTTTCATGTGTATCTTGCGGGGCGAAAGTTTAAAATTATAACGGATTGTGACAGCTTCCGGCTGACGTTAAATAAGAAAGATGTTAACCCTCGAATCTCGCGTTGGGCTCTGATGTTGCAGAACTATGACTACGAGATAGTTCACTGTCCCGGGAAGCGCATGTGTCATGTAGATGCGCTCAGTCGTTGCCACAGTGTGCTCGTGCTCGAGGGTAGTACGCTAGAAAGAACTCTATCCGTTTGTCAGGATCGCGACGATGAGGTCCGGAGAATACGCGACGGGCTCGAGAAGGGCGACGTAAAATATTATGAGTTGCGAGACGGGATAGTCTACCGAAAGGAGAAAAATAAGAAACTATTGTTCTATGTTCCGCGTCCGATGGAGTCAAACGTGATTCGAACGTGTCACGACGACCTAGGTCACGTAGGGGTCGACAAGGTTATCGAGAACATTGCGAGGGTCTATTGGTTTCCTCAAATGCGGGCGAAGGTGCGTCAGTATATAAATAACTGTCTTAGGTGTATCGAGTTCTCTCCGCCGAGCGGCAGAGCGGAAGGACATTTGCATAGCATACCGAAGGAAAATGTACCGTTTGCGACTATACATCTTGACCATATGGGCCCGCTAGAGAAAACGGGAAAGGGCTATCGGCACTTGTTGGTGATCATTGACGCATTCACCAAATTTATCAGGTTGTATCCGTGTAAATCTACGACGACGGAGGAAACGATAAAGCATTTGAGCGATTATGTTCGCGCGTATAGTAGGCCGAGGCGTCTGATATCCGATCGCAGTACATGTTTCACCTCTGAAGTGTTTAAAGAATTTGTAAGATCCGAAACAATAGAGCATGTCCTGGTAGCCGTAAGCACGCCCAGGGCGAATGGGCAAGTCGAGCGATACAATAGAATGATCACTCCTATGCTCGCGAAGTTGTGTGAGGTACCGTCTAGGTGGGACCGTGTGCTAGACAAGATCGAGTTTTCGATAAATAACACTGTGTGTCGCGTGACCGGCGAGACCCCGACACGTTTGTTATTTGGTATAGAACAGCGAGGTCCCGCGAACGACTCGCTTCGAGAAATAATTGAAGAAAATGTTCATATCGAGCGAAATTTGGACGCACTCAGAGAAAAGGCGAGTAGAAAAATTAACGAGGAGCAACGCAAAGGCACCGAACGTTATAATTTAAGAAGAAAGGCGGCGCGCAAATACAAAGTTGGTGAGTATGTCGAGATCCGTAACGTCGAAACGGCGGCCGGAATTAATAAAAAATTGATACCGAAGTACAAAGGCCCCTATATGATAAAGAAAGTCTTAGATCACGATCGTTACGTGGTGGTCGACGTTGAAGGCTTTCAATTGACACAGCGACCGTATGCGGGAGTATTAGCGCCGGACCAGATGCGCCCTTACATTCATTCTTAAGCGGTATAAATGTTATTGTAATTTAATAAGTGCGTTAGTTTTAAGATAACGATTGACCGGGTCGGTCAAATAATCAGAATGGCCGAGCTGTAGGCATT